GAGCAACATGTCAGGAATACTCCCACAGTAATTGTGAGTTATGAGTTGAGAAAATCAGTGGTCCTTGACCAGGTAGCTAGCATTGTAGGCCCCTAAATATTCAAATGACAATAGAAATACTTGATGATGGTGATTCTTTCCAGGTTTCTGACATTACTTTTCTCATACTCATTCCCTCTTTTGAACAGCCTTGGATCTCACTTTCCTTTCACCAAGCACCATCTGTACTCTCCTGTATTTGAACATACTATGGTTTTGTTTTCTTTACCCACTAAAGTATTCTATTTGTCTAGAACAGTGCTTGAAAATGGTAGGCACTCAACAAAATCTTCAATGAATGGAAAAATATTCATAACTGAAAATTTTATTGATAAATGCTAGGGACCCAAAAAACAACACAAGGGCGTGGGTTAGTGTTCTATGAAAATAAAGAGCCCAAGGATGTCCCATGGGTAGCATAGTGTAGGCGGGGATATATTCCACATCATGTTCATGTTCTCATTAATTCCTTTTTTTGATGAGTGATAACATTTTGTTTATAATAATATTAAAGTTCAAATTGGAAAACAAGCACAGCATTTTCAAAGGGAAATAATGAAAACAGACTGATTGTTGAATGAATGGCATTCAGTAAATTGTTATATGGAAAAACACGTATCTTGGCTTTTATCTCACATCGCATGCAAGTAGCAGTTCAGTTGGAGTGCAGATCTGAACATAACAATAAAGTATAAATCTTTTGGAAGAAAATAAAGTTTCATTGCTTGTGTTTGATAAACATTTCTTAAGCAGGATAAAAAAGATCAAAACATCAAAATTGAACTACCTGAAAATTAAGTGCATAAGGTTAAAAGGATAGCCTGTGAACAGAGAACATCTGTGGCACCCATCATTGTCAAAGGGCCTGTTTCAATTTTGAAAAAGGTCTTCTTCAAACCAAGAAGAAAATAAGCAAACTAATAAAAGGGAAAATGTCTTACAAGCTCTTCACAAAAGAAGATATCCAGATGGAGAATAAATATACCAATTCCATAAAATACAAAAAGAGATATAGCTAATGTTATAAGTCAAAATAGTGCTGCCCTTGCTACAGGATAACTGGGATAGCTCATGTTGGGGCTCTGATTTTAACTGATGTTCTATTTCCTGAACTGGATGGGTATGTTGAATTTTGTGATCACTTATCAAGCTGAATACTTATATCTTTTTACTTTCTTCTGCATATTACTATGCTGAAATAAAAACTTTAAAAATGATACAATGATTCCATATTAATTTCAAAGTGATCTGTGAAACAAAACTAAAATTTCAGGTGTTTTCATGCTAGTTCTGTCTTGCATCTCAACTATTTTGGTGAGAACACAGCCATTAAACAAACACAACTTCAGATTTTGAGTAAGCTCTAGTCCTGTATTAGAATACCATAGATGAGAAATAGGACAACAGTGTGTTTTCCTACATTTGGGATACAATAGGATTTCTGACCCTCGATGTGGGCAAAAGGACTCTAGCTATGAATGTTTTGGATTTTTAGAAAAGTTAAAAAGTCTACTGAATAAGGTCTCATGAGAAAGAGACCATGATGCTCTTATCTTATGGTTCGCAACAGAGTCCATGGCAATCCCAAGTTTTAAAAGTCTGAAGAAGCTATGTATTTTTATCCAGGAACACTACTAACTAAAACAACATGAAGATTGTATTAGTTAAGAAGAAGAATAAAATCCATTCATAGATAAGAAGGAGTATCTGTCATAGCCTAAAATATTAAAGGATTCCCGCTTCATTAAGACACATTATGTCAATAAATTTTGTAAGCCAAATCTTTGCAATTATTGATATAATCCCAGAACCTAGGGAATGATTCCAGTTTGGCATAATAGAAGGGAGATGATTCATCCAGTCTTTGGATTTGACAGGCTAGTGAAATAGAAAAAAAAGAAGAAGATATGTGTGTATTTGTGGCATTTATAAAAACAGTTTTACAATGGCTGTTTTTGGAGATCATATTTGATAAGTAAGAAAGAGAGCTGATGTACAGAAAAATAAAGTGGAGGGATCAATACCTAAATTACCAATAGATGGGAAAGCAAGGAAGAAGAATCTCAGCCTAAATAAAACACCCCAAAGCTGGCAGCAGGTCACAGCTTTCATTGAAGAGACTCAGGCAATAATTTCTAAGACAACAAGTGCAGTGATTGCCAGGTTTCCGGATGGTGTTCCAGATGTGGCCTCTGCCAGTGGGTTTCAATGTGAGGTGGGGAGATCTTCATCAGCGAATTCAAACACTTGTAGACTTCCTCACAGACTGGATGAAAGCTGAGTTCTTCTGTGTAGCCCATAATTTACTGATATTTGCAGCACCTCAAGCCCTGAGCACCTGTTACTTTATTGCAGTCATGCTCCTGTGTACCAGGACCTCTGGGAAGCACCTTCAGTCCAACGTGATTGACTCCTTCCAGAGGTGAATCATTCATCAGGGGATTTGACTGTCTTCTTTCATTTTCTATACTGACCTGTCTCATCTCTTCCCATGAAAACCTTTCCTGTGGGCCTTTTAATCCCCACTCCATCAAAAACAAACATTTTGGGAATGTAGCTCAGTGATAAAGTGCTTTGCCCAGCTGTGGGAGGCCCTGGATTCCACCCCAGCATTGCAAAAATAAAATATATTTATGACCCCTGTGACTAAAATAGCATTTTATAGTCATTTTACATGCCTTAACTGAGACCCAACTCTCTGCTTAGATTTTCTCTCATATGCCTTATTCTCTCTCAGATAAAACACCCCAGATTTGGAGGTAGCAACTGTGTTCTCTTTGTTCCCAGTACAGTCTGGGCCTCATCTCTGTGCCTTCAAGGCTTTTGTCTTCCTTTACTTTCATTACTATCATTTTCATAAACAGTAAATACTCCTCTCAAATTGAAGGGTTTGACACAGCTTAGAAGTTTCCACTGTAACCTAAATACTGCATGACTTAAATGTCCACTTGGGAAGATCTTGTAATAATTCTCCATTCAGATGTTGACTCTCATGAAATCTTTCATCTGGTCCTAAACCAGTGATCCTGAGACTCACACAGACCCTCTCCCTGCACTTGTCATTTGACTATATATGTCATTTAGTTCCTTTAATGTCATCTTATTCCCCAGAGTCTTATTTTATTCTCTTACCTATGACTTAACTCCACGGCCCAACACTTTGGATTAATATCTTTCTTATAATGCATACCTTGTCTGATAAATGGTATTCAAGGTAATCACACAGATGTGCAGACAAGTGTCATTGAACCATATTACTGTCAACACCAACTAGGCCCACAGTGTTGCCGGAAAGGATTCATTTTCTCTGTACCCATCTCTCACTGCCACTTCCTACAGGGGCTGTTTCAACACTTCTCATTGACCTCAGAATTCATAATCCATAACCATCTCCATCCACTCCTTTGGAAAAACACTTAATTTCTGTTTATAAGAACAAAATCATCCTACTAAAAAGAAATAGATGTTTCAGACGTCTGCTTTTGCACCCAAAATCTAAACCAGTCTTTTTCTCTTTTATTGCAATAAAATTAGAAATAACTGTTACTCCTCCTGTCAAAGGTTGCTCTTTTGGCCTGTGATTCATGTTCCCATCCTACCAGTCTCCTCAGAACTTTGATTCAGTGCTTATAGATCATATGCTTTCAAAAGTATATAGATAATATGCCAAATTTTTAAAACTCTGCCATTACCTCTTTAGAATTCTCATCCAGTTAACACCATGTCTTTTTGCTCCCCTTAAAATGATCCAGAAAAAAGGAGATCTCAAAAAAGAGATTTCTGTATTCAAACTTTTCTACCTTGTCTCATTCCCTTTCCCCTCTACTGCAGTTCATCTTCTGCTGAAAAGACTCAAATCATGATCTTTGTGCTTTTAAAAAATCAATAGACACTGAAAAGTTATTTTCTTATCAGACATTTCTTTAGCATTTTCTCTGTTGACCACTTATTTCTTCTTAAAACTACCTTTCCCATCTAAGAAGACCGGCTATTGCTGATTTGCTACTTCACTCTCTGGACTACCCTTTGAGGTGTCTTTGGTACCTCTCCCACTACTCACCCTTCAATGTTTGAGTCCTGCCAGGATTTTCTATTCCGAATTTTTCTCTGAGCAATTTTCTTGGTGAAATGACATCTATTATTTTGCAGTAGCACCCTGTCAACACAGCATAGTGGGTGAGAGGCTGAACGTGGAGGGGGAAGAGTAAGGTGCCACTCATTGTGTGTACTAGGGAAGATTATCTAACTTTATAAAGACCTGGTTTTCCATCCACTAAGCAAGGACAAAATCTCTAAAGTGCTGCAGTGAGAAATGTGCCATAGTTATCAGTGGTTACTAATGAGAATTCTTGACTCATTAATGAGACAAACTTCAGTTGTCACCTACTGTTATCTTGGACAAAATGCATCTTTTCCTCCATTCTTCATCTTCATTTATAAAATGATTATGGTATCCTTTACCTTATAAAATTAAACAATGCTATTTATTTCATAAGATTAAAATAGCCTTTTTTTTAAATTTTATTGTTGGTTGTTCAAAACATTACATAGTTCTTGATATATCATATTTCACACTTTGATTCAAGTGGGTTATGCACTCCCACTTTTACCCCGTATACAGATTGCAGAATCACATCAGTTACACATCCATTGATTTACATACTGCCATACTAGTGTCTGTTGTATTCTGCTGCCTTTCCTATCCTCTACTATCCCCCCTCCCCTCCCATCTTCTCTCTCTACCCCCTGTACTGTCATTCATTTCTCCCCCTTGTATTATAAAATAGCCTTTTAATAAATACTCTCTGCAGACTACACTGCTAAAAGAACAGATAGAGCAAACACTATTAAGATGCTATTTCTATATTTAACCTCCAGAGGGCAATGTTGCATAGATTAGAGATGTCTCTGCAGACAAGTCTTACAAATTTCTGTACCTCACAGCTCATTGAGGTGCACATTCTAGTAGGGTCAACACCAGAGCAATCAATGTCAAGGAAGTGTCTCTTTGTAACAGAGTCTATACTATGTCTAAGCAGAGAAGATCTTCCAGAGTCAAGCTCTCACCTCCTTTCTCTCTAGCCATGCTCTTGGTGTCCATTCTACTGCTTGGACTGCCCTTCACACTAAGTAAGTAATATGGTATTCCCTGCTTCTGTCGCCACAGAAGGAACATGTTCCCAATCAGAATCTGAATAGAGACACCATCTCGTTACAGGTAGGTTTGTCCTGGTCTCACTGACACAGTGTTGATGTTGCAGGAGGAAGCAGAGCCCAGTCTGTGACCCAGCCTGACCTCCATGTCACTGTCACCGAAGGAGTCCGTCTGGAGCTGAGGTGCAACTATTCCTATGCTGCAACACCATATCTCTTCTGGTACGTCCAATACCCAGACCAACACCTTGAGCATCTCCTCACATACTTGGCAAGAGACACCCTGGTTAAAGGCATCAAAGGTTTTGAAGCTGAGTTTAAGGAGAGTGAATCGTCTTTCAACCTGAGGAAGTCCTCAGCCCACTTGAGCGACTCAGCCAAGTACTTTTGTGCTCCAGTAGCACAGTGCCTAGGGCTACAGGGGGAGCTGAGCACAAACCTCCTCTGAGACTGGGCTTTCTGTGACTTCAGAGCACAGCCTGACCTGATTTTAGCAAAGTCTTTCATGTGATGAAAGTGTGCAGGGTGCAGGAGCAGAGAGACCTGGGGAATTCTTGACTCCTGAAAAGGAACAGGGACTTCGTCACGTTCTCTGTTTTACCCCCGGTTACATCAGCAAGACAGCACAGAGAGACTTGTGTGGATGTTCTCCTTCTGCATGAAGAGGTTGCTTTCTAGAAGGTCAGGATTCTAACTTACTGTAGCCAGTACTGAGCATTAGATCCTTCCCCCACTCACCTCCATCAGACAGCAACCCCGTTCATTTAGTATCTCTGGCTACAACTTCAGAATTGATTTTTATTTTTTTCCTCTAATTTCTCACATCTAATTAATCAAGAAATCCAGTTGGTTCTACCTTAAAAAATGACCCATAGTCTAGACTCCACCTCTCTGGCCAAACTGTGAGAGCACTCTAACTGGTCTCCCTGCTTGTCCTCCTACAGTCCAATCTCAATACAGCAGCCAATCAAACACTGATCATGTCACCCCCAGACTCAAATCTTTGTTATACCTTCCTATTTCTCTAACAGTAAAATCAAAGTTCTCACAATGGCCTATAATATATGATCTGTCTAATTTTTATAAGCTGACAGGGAAAAAAAATCTGTCGACCATGAATTCTATTGCCAGTGAAAATATCCTATAGATATTATAATAAAATAAAGACATTTTCAAATAAAGGAAAAGAGAATTCTTTATGAGTAGATTTGCTCTATAAGAATTCTGAAGAAAGTTCTTCAGGCTGAAAGGAAATGTTACCAGAAGAATATGTGGAACTTCAAGAATGAAGAAAGAATAACAGAAGTAAATATATATATATATATTGTAAAATATAAGCAACTTTTAAAATTCTCTTTTTTAAACAACTTCATTGATATACAATTGAAATTTCTAAACTAAACATATTTATCATGTACAATTTGATGAATTTAGACATATGTAAACACCATTGAAAGCATCATCACAATAGAAAAAAATAAACATATCCATCACCTCTGAAAATCTTCTTGTGTGTCTTTGTTTTCTCCTTGTTTCTGCTGATGGTGTTGCAAGAATACTTAACAAGATATCTATCCTCTTAACAAAATTGTAAGTAATCAAAACTGTATTATCAATTTTGAGGATAGTGTTATATAGCAGATTTCTAAAACTTACTCTGGCATAACTGAAATTTTTTGTACTCATTGGACACTAGTTCTCTGTTTGTCCTTCCACATTCCATCCCTGGAAACCACCATTGTATTCTCTGTTTTTATCGATGACAGTTTTTAGATACTCATTGCAGTGGAATCATGCAGTACTTGTCCTTCTGTGACTGGCTTATTTCACTTAATATCATGTCCTCCAGGTTCATCTGTGTTGTTGCAAATAGCAGAAATTTCCTTTTATCAAGGCTGAATAATATTCCATTGTAACAATATATTACATTTTTTATTCAGATTAATGGACTTTTAGGTTATTTCTATATCTTGACTCTTTAGAATACCATGTACAGTAAAATTAAACAGACCATCTAAGGGCCAGGGCTATAGCTCAGTGGAAGAGCACTTGCTTTGCATGTGTAAAGCACTGGGTTTGATCATCAGCACCACATAAAAATAAATAATAAATAAATAAATAGACCATCTATATTACACTCTACACACACACACACATACACACACAAAAAAAAAATCTCAAAATGGACTAAGGACTTAAGTCTTAAAATTGTAAAACTACTAGTTTTGGAATATGACTCTAAATGTACAAGCAATGAAAGCAAAAAATAGACAAGTGCAATTGCATCAAACTAAAAGCCTCTGTGCATCCAAAAAGCAACTTACCTGATTAATAAAAATATTTGCAAACTGCAAAGTGCTAGTTTTCAAAATATATAAGAAACATATATAACACTATAATAAAAAAGCTACTCAATTTAAAAATGATCAAAAGACTTGGAAAGACATTTCTCCAAAGAAGACACATAAATAGCCAGCAGGTGTATCAAAAGCTATTTAATATCACTAATCATCAGGAAAACGCAAATCGAAACTACAATGAGGTATTACCTCACGTTATGAAAGCTGTCATGTACAAAAAAAGATAAGCATGTACTAGACTGTGGTGAAACTGTAGCCCTTATACTTGTTCCTAGGAATGTAAAATGGTGCAGTTGCTACAGAAAACATTACAGAGAGTCCTCAAAAAAAAAAAAAAAAAACAGAACTACCATAAGATCCATGTACATAACCTTGGAATATATATCCAAAAAGATTGAAATCAGAATCTCAAATAGATATTTGTACTCCCAAAAAGAAAATTTGTGTAGCTTTCATTGATTTCTGCACCAGCATTATTTGCAACTTTTCTTCCTGATTTATTTAAAATGTTTATGATGTTGAAATCAATTGTTATAACATTGCCTGTTAAGGTTTTCAAAATCTGAGAATTGAAGGCATCTGACTAGTGTGACATAAATGGGGAGGATAAAGTCAACTATATGGTGGAAGGGTTTCTGTATTTTTCTTGAATCGGTGCCATATCAGTAACAAGGGGATGAAAGGTTCAATAGTAGGAATAATGTCATTCTTAAGGAAACCACTAAAAAAGCAATATAAAAAGAAATAGTTAAAAATCAAATAGATGAATTTTGCAGATAGATAAATAGCTAAATAGGTGAAGCTGATCTCAAAGAAGTGGAGAATAGTGATTCCCAGAGCCTGGGGAAGGTGTCAGGAAGGGAGGGAGAAGAGGATGGTTAACAGGTGCAGATGTAGTTGGAAAGAAGGAAGATCCTCTCTTAGTCTTAGCATTGCAGGATGACTGTGGTTGACAATGACTAAAACATTTCAAAAGAGCTATAGAACTTTGTTCCCAACACAAAGAAATGATGTATGCCTGAGGTGACATAAGCCATTATCCTGATCTGATGATTATGTATTACATGAACGTATTGAAATGCCACACTGTACCCCATAGGCATATACAATTACTATGTGCCAATTAAAAATATATTGTTGATAAAAAATAACTTTAAAAAGAAAGCACTTATTATCATTATTGTCATCCTATGTTTAAATCTCTGACAATTATTATTTTTATATGTTTATGAAGTAGACTTTTTACATTTTAGGTTGGAAAAAAGCACACCATCAACGTTTCTTCCACGTAAATTAAATCTAATGAAAAACTACCACAAACTCATCAAAGTGGTGATACTTATGGTTTTCATATAACCAAAGGCAATCATCTTTGGAAAAGAAAGAAAATTTTTGTAGCTTTCATTGATTTCTGCACCAGTATCTTAAAAAGGAAAATAACATATTGGGTTTGTATAATAAAATTACCCAATTACTTTCACTGAAAACAAGATTATTTTTATTGCTTTGTGAATTTGTTATTTTAAAGGACTATCATCTAAAATTCAGGCCATGAGTACACTTTTAAGAGGAAAAAAATAATAAAAAAGAACAAATAGGCAAAGTTTAATATAATATTGAGGAACTAAAAAGAGGACACAAACAGAAAATAAACAGTAAAATGGTAGACCTAAATATAATCATTTCAATAACTTGTGTAAACGTAAATTATCTCAATACACAAATATACAGACAGGATTGTCAGTATGATTTTTTTAACTATCTATTGCCAATATGAATCCCACTTTAAATGTAATGACATAGATAGACATAAAGTTTTAGAAGCTAGAAAAAGGTATCCATGGAGACACTAATCAAAAAAATCTGGCCAGGAGTGGTGGCCCATACTTATTGAAAGAAAAGTGATCACAACACTCAGAGCAACCAAGAGATCTTTATTGCAGCAGTGCAACAGAGGAGAAAAGAGAGAGAGAGAGAGAGAGAGAGAGAGAGAGAGAGAGAGAGAGAGAGAGAGAGAGAGAGAGAGAGAGAGAGGAAGCGCGCACAAGAGAGAGACAGAGAAAGCAAGAGAGAGAGGGGCCCGGCAGGAGGGAGTTTTTATAGCCCAAATCTAATGAGGTCTCTGGGTCTGCAAGCTGCCTTGTTGGCCCAAGGGGGGTTAAGTGTTCAGCCTTGAGCTGGGGCTTGGGCGTTTGGGCTTGAAGCAAACAGATGATAAAGAACCAGACAGAGGGTTTGAGTGGCCAGGTCATCCTGCAGCTAACTTTGGCATGCCCTGAAGACAGCTTACTCAGCCTGTCCTGCACCTAACACTTATAATCCCAGATATTCAGGAATCTGAAGCAGGGGGATCATAAGTTTGAGGCTAGCATGGGGCAACTTGGTGAGATTCTGTGTTAAAAAGTAAAAAGGGTTGGGCGTGTAGCTCAGTGGTAGAGCACTTACTTGCCTAGCACACACGAGGACTGGGATTAATTCCTAGTAGAGAAAAAAAAAATCTAGGTCTAGGTCTACATTAATGTCCAATATTAGACTTCAGAAAAAGAAATATTACAGAAATAAAAATAAATATTATGTACCTTTACAGGGGTTATATACCTAAAAACAGAGATTCAAAATACTTAAAGATAAAACTGTTAAAACTAAAGGGAAAATAGACTAAACCACAATTATACATGTAGACTTTAACCTTTTGTTCTTAGTAAATAATAGAAGAAGAAGTCAGAAAATCAACAAAGTTCCAGCAGACCTGTTCAATACTGTCAACCAATCTGTTGCCAATGGTATTAATGGAACACTCCACTCAACAACAACAGAAAGCAAATAAATCAATGCTTGGAAGAAACTTGATAACAGTAAATGTTTACATTAGAAAAAATGTTTCAAATCCATGATCTCATAACCTCCTTGGATGTGTGTCCAATGATGATGTTCTTCTACACAGAAAAGAAAACAGCAATCCAAGAAACTCTCCTCTATGTTGAGTTTCGGCAAACAGAAACATTTTATGCTGTTACTGCACCAATATCCAGCTAAAAAATGTTATGTCTCTGGCAACTTAGATTGCTTTCCTATGCTCAAAGATTAC